TTGCTTGTCCGCTTGCCAATATTTTTCCCAAATTCTATTGTAATAGATTCAGATTTATCATTATTACTCATGCTGTCGGTTATACATGTATATTTTGCCGCCTGTTAAGCTCAGTATAAATTATCTGCAATCAATGCATAGCTGGTTCGATCGGTGGCGGCTGTAAAAGGTCTCCCCGTACATTTAATCAATGATGTTATATTTTCGATCCTTGAGGATCGTTCAGCACGACATTATTGTTGTGCTTGTGGTATTATTAGTTTCAACTTTTCGGCATTTCTAGTTGGGTGGTTCCAATATTCCTACTTGAATATTGTTGAATCACCCTTAGGATATGTTGCCTGCTTTTTTTTAAATTTTTTTTTTGAACGTCTTTTATCTGTGATACGCAGGCTTCATAACTCTGATCCCCTTTCAAAATTCATTTTATTTTAGTTCCCCGCCCATTGTTTTCTCGTTTAGCGGGGCACACGCTTTTTATTACTTGGGGACCCATACGCCGCTTTTCTTTGAATGGCACTACTGTGTCACATTGAAGGTTCCATGATAACCGCCGTATGAACACATCTACGGATGTTTCTAAATTCAAAATTTTACTATTTCACATTTAAATGTTGAATTCTGCTTAAGCCGGTGCTAGGGGGCGTGGACGGTAACTTGCACTTTCCAGTACCGTCCATGAACAGGCTCAATCAAACCGAGCCTGCAACATTTTCAATTTTGCCGTGTTGGGCTTTCTTTAGGGATTCTGTTTTTATCTATTTTAAGCAAAATCTCTTCGTGCAAATTGACATTAAGTGTAACCCCTTGTGGCAGAGGAGTTGATTTTAAGTTGAGTCATCAGAATTGGAAACACTGCTTATCTCTGCTGTTTAAACCGGTGCTTGGAGATGTGGAGGGCCGGAATATGAATATCGAAACAAAATGATCGATATTCGATATATCATATATTTTGTTCACGTTATAAAAAAGAAATACAAACTGTTAAACACATTTATTCATTTACTGTTAAACACATTTATTCATATCGACTTGCATTATACAGATAATGATGAGGATTTAGTCGCATTTTTCTTTAGGAAAATCAAAGCATCTGAAGCCTTTTTGTCCGTGCAGACTCCTTCTGCTGAAATGATTTTACCCGAGGTGGAAAATACAAACCTGACATAAATATTTTCTGAAAGAAAAGATAGTGCTCTACAAACTTCGTCTAGTATACTGTTTTACAATAGGCCTACAGTTTGTAAAGAAGGCTTTTTGAGAGTTACATGCAAGAAATATAACTTTTTCACGTGCAAACGTTTTCTAAATAAGGGAAATTAGTTTATCATTAATTAATTATGTGGCAGTGTAGTGTAGTTTAAAGGGTGGACAATTCGTATGTACTGACAGTTGAAGCTCGATAGTTCTTAATTTTCAATCTATCCAGAATTTCACCGGAATTCTTAATGGACCAAAATAGATGTTTGCTTGTATTTTCGTACACTTTATCACTGTATCTAATTACATGTGTTTTAATGGCAGTCAAACAAGACGTCAATAAAATAAAAAGTTTACTTTTTTGTGCTAGATGTAAAATTAGCAATGAATCTGGCATTGTAAGGTTTTTTTAAGTAATTTAGGAATCCAATAGAAAGTTTTAGTTCTTTTTCATCGATTTGGACTTTTAAACTGGAAATATTAGTGACATGATTGTTAAAGTCAAAAGGGGGGACAGGCGACCCGGGGAAGGGTAGGGAGTTAATTAGAGAAATAAAAACTAGGAAGGATATCTAAGGAACACAGAGGGGCATCGCCTTGGAACAATTTTGCTGTGAGTAATGCTTAGGAGTAATCACTTTGATTCCAGATTTGTATACATCACAACAGCAGGTGTCTAGTGCTGTATGGAAGCTGTAAAAAATTGCCCCGTTGTTCACTTCAGTGTTGTTATATTTTTCTGGTCCTTCGGGATCATTGATGCCAGCACTATTAAGTGTTGAGAATTGATTACCGCTCAAGCCGGTGTTAGGGGGCGTGGGGGATGTTGCACGATACGCCGCTTTTCATGGAATGGCACGGAAGTGTCACGTTGAAGGTTCCATGATAACCGCCGTATGAACACATCTGCGGATGTTTCTAAATTCAAAATTTTACCATTTCATGTTTAAATGTTGAATTCTGCTTAAGCCGGTGCTACGGGGCGTGGACGGTAACTTGCACTTTCCAGTACCGTCCATGAACAGGCTCAATCAAACCGAGCCTGCAACATTTTCAATTATGCTGTGTTGGACTTTCTTTAGGGATTCTTATTTTCTTTTTTTCATTATCCCTCGTGTACAGACTCAATCAAACCGAGCAATTCTCTTGTAATTTTGTTGTGATTAATGCTTCCGAGGGATCACTTTGTTTCCAGATTTTTATAGCCTCTGATCCCCTATCAAAATTCTTATTTTATTTAGTTCCGCCCATGTCCGAGGGTTCGAGCAATACGTGGTAGAACAACATATATCATATAGGAACTTTGTCAGAACTTGGCGATGAGTTCGAGTGAAGGGGGTATTCGAGCGAGTTTGAGCGAACGAAGTATATCCATTATCCTGGTCATTGCATTCAGGCCCTGTCCTGTTTTTGTTTGGGGTCCGCCTGGGCTCCTTGCCACTGGTTCTTGTTGCTGGGTCATATAGGGGTTGCGTTCATTGTATTTGTAAGGTCGGTCAAAGGTTAAAGACATGTACTTCGACAGGCGATATAGCCGTCCTCAGACTGCATTGTTCTACTTTAACATATTGTTGGTCTGTCATTAATCATTGATTACCTTACATTTAAGATTGAAGGATATATGAATATTATCACATTATGTTATTTTTTGAGTGCATGGTTGTATATTTAAAATTGTAAAATTCATGTCTTAGACCATAGTATGAATAACAAAATAGAGAATAAAGCTCAACAGGACAAAATTGAAAATGTTGCAGGCTTAATTTGATTGAGCCTGTTCATGGACGGTACTGAAAAGTACAATAGATAAAAACAGAATCCCTAAAGAAAGCCCAACACGGCAAAATTGAAAATGTTGCAGGCTCGGTTTGATTGAGCCTGTTCATGGACGGTACTGGAAAGTGCAAGTTACCGTCCACGCCCCCTAGCACCGGCTTAAGCAGAATTCAACATTTAAACATGAAATAGTAAAATTTTGAATTTAAAAACATCCGCAGATGTGTTCATACGGCGGTTATCATGGAACCTTCAATGTGACACTTCCGTGCCATTCCATGAAAAGCGGCGTATGGTCCCCAAGTAATAAAAAGCGTGTGCCCTAAACGAGAAAACAATGGGCGGAACTAAATAAAATGGAATTTTGAAAGGGGATCAGAGGTTATGAAATATGATAAACAAGATCAACAAGGAAAGGCGGCGTTCAATGAGCCTGCGTATCACAGATAAGACGTCAAAAGACAAATTTAAAAAGCCGGCAACATATCCTAAGGGTGATTCAACATTATTCAAATAGGAATATTGGAACCACCCAACTAGAAAATGCCGAAAAGTTGAAACTAAAAATACTACAAGCACAACAGTAATGTCGTGCTGAACGATCTTCAAGGATCGAAAATATAACATCATTGATTAAATGTACGGGGAGACTTTTTACAGCCGCCACAGTAGAATACTAAATTTAATTTTGCAAAATTCATTTTTATTGCATTGCATGCAAAACTATTAAATTTATTTAAAGACTTAGAGTCTAATAAAGGTAATTCTCTGTTTCATAGAGAGTATATAAGGTCAAATGGTTTAACTGTAATTTCATATAGTGTATATAATGTCAAATGGTTTAACCGTAAATCAATTTATTTTTGTTCATTTCGATTTTTATAATAGTTCATTCAAATTTGCATAACTTAAAAAACTGTTAACAATGGGCTGTCGACCAACAAATCTTCCAACAAACACATCTAACAATAGTCGCATTCAAATTCCAAATCAGCTATTTCACCTTCAGTCATGGAAAACAGATCAATGGTTTTTACACACAGCCTATGTAGCCAACGACCACAGGAGTGGCGCATAATCCACTCATCGGTTTTATTATCATAAGGAATGTCGCAAGCGTAGCATGCCTGTTTAATGCTTGTATCCATGTCTGCCAAATCATCGTCATCGCAATATACTGATACATCTGAATCTGAGGAGTCAGATTCTCTTTTGCGCTTCTGTTTTTCACGCTCTTGTCTCTCAATCTGTTTAATCCTCTTTTTTTCTGCCATTTCTTTAAGCATTTGTTCTCGTCGAATCTTTTTTTCTGTTCTTTCCTTTTCTTTCCTTTGTTTTTCTTCTTCTTTACGTTTTCTAGTTTGTTCTCTTTCTTTCTTTCTCATTTCTTTCCTTTCAATTTCTTCTTCCTTTTCTTTTTGTCTCTTTTGTAACAAATCATGAAATGTTTTGCCTGATATTGCTTTTGGAAGTACCAATCTTTTCCTTTCTGGTTTACGTGATGATGCTTTAGCGACAGGAAGTTTCAATATTTCATGAACGGCTGGAGATATAGTGGTTTCAGACCTACGGACATTAAGGCAAACGTTTGGATGTGTGTCACCACGAGAAACATCTGATAGTTTGTTGGGGGAACTGTCGATATAAAAGACATATTACTTGTAGGTAGCTTTTGTTGCCGGAGTAAGTACTGGGGTTTCTTTCGGCGAATTTGTTACAGGCTCAGATGATGGAGTAGTGACTATAGTAGATTCTTGGATTGTAGAATTAACAGTCAGAGTCTGAATGTTGGGTGCGTCAGTGTTCAGCAAATTCATTGCTGAGGAGGAAGCCGGGATTGAAGATTTTGCATTTGATTCAGAGATGTCTGCAGGTGTTAAGTCAGACTGAGATGTGGACGTTGAGGATGAAATGGTGACAGTGTCGGTAGATAAGCCAGCACTTGACAATACTAGAGTGGACATGTTAATATCTTTGACAGTCTCACTCTGCTCCGTCCTGAAAACTCTACTCGGTTCCATCTTTTACGTATCGAGGACTTTGGTCGGATCAGAAGGAAACAGCCCGCTGTCGCGAAAACCTTTAACAGAAATGTCCACAGGACAAGCAGATTCCCAAGCTGACTTAAAGACTTTTGCAAATTTTACCCTTGTAACAAACTCACCGACATTACTGATTTGATAATCTCGAACAGCCTGCTTCCATGTTCCCTTTAGCGCACTAAGCAGTGCAATATCACAGAACTGCATTAAATGACTGCCGTGTTCTAGCAAACAATACAAAATGATATCATTTTCTCTGCAAAATTTTGATGCCTTAAGTGTAGCATGAGTTGAATGACCATCAACAAACAATACAACTGGTCGTCTTATACTGTTTTCTTCGAGTGCCGGGGCAAACACATCTTTAAGCCAAGTATAGAACAAGTCAGAATCCATCCAACCTGTGTCTGTACGCCCTAGAATGGCCTCAGGAAACTCCTCAGGTGGGTTATATGTAAGTCTCTGTCCTGCATATACAATAAGAGGCCGTAGATATAAACCAGCAGCATTCATACAGGCCAACACAGTAATTTGTGTTTTGTCGGATGACGTGAAATTATATATGTTAGGAACACCTCTTGGAGCTAATACATTGCCGCTTTGAGGACATAAAGGGAAGCCCGATTCGTCTGCATTAAACCATCTTGTGGGATCTTTCCATAAAAGGGGGTCGTTCACCTCTTCAGACATAAATTTTAAAAAATCAGAGAACCACTGATCAGCTCTCTTAGGTGTAATTATTGTGCGCTCCTTTGCTAGTTGTTGTGGTGATCTAGCAGACAGTTCAGGGTGTCTTTTTAAGAAAGCATAATACCAGTCTTTCCCGGGTCTACAGTTCACAAATGGGCAAACTCTCCCATCTTGTTTAATTATGCATTGTACAGTGTCTAAAATCTCTGCTCTCGTTCTACCAAAACCCATTTTGGCCATTTTAATCGCCCAGTCTGCTATCATATCCTCCTCTGCTTTTGTCAACACTGTTCCAGGGCCACTGCGAGAGCCGATATCAGATTTTCCATTTACTTTATTAGACAGTGTAGTTTTAGGTATGCCATATACTTTTGTTGCATGACGAAGTGAAATTCCTTTGCTCCTGATCAAACTAACAGCATAACTTAAAGTTTCGTTAGTATAATTCCGATACTGCTTAGTCTGTAACTGGCGACTCATTCTGAAATAGAAAACGATGAAAGCAAATCATAGTATATCTACTATTATTTTAAATGTTTTACCTTAACTATACATAACTTAACTGAGTTAATAATACGTTTTTTCTACCAAGTTACACACTATACTTTTTAATATATCAGTGTCCCAAAACACCCGACATCTATAAAATGTTGTCGGGAGAATTGGAACCACATTATATAATGAATCAAGTTGTCAAAACATCTAACAGACGCTCACACATTGATCGGGAGATTTTTTTTTACCCTAAAATGTAAGTTTGCTTGTACAAAAAAATATCACATTAGATTTTATTAAATTAAATAGTTACTAAAATTTCTTAAGGTTATCATAAAATAGTGGCGTGATCCTTGAAAATTTCACAACGTGTAAAAATAACAACACTTACTTGAACGTGCAGACGCTGAGTAGACGCTTGCAGGAAAAGGACGACTTGATTGACATTTTAAAGTAAAGAACTTAATCGAATAAGCTTTATATGCGTTATCATGAGATGTGGTCCAAAATAGCCGATGGTTCACATATACCCGACAACTCTCTACTCAACAAAATAATATTGGTGTTCTGATGATGTACATTTTACCCCATACTTGCCTTGCCACTGCTGTCATCCATTGATAAATGGAGCATGACAACCTTTATATGCTCAGTCATTGGATAGAATTGCAGTAAACTATTGTAACAGGCAAGTTATTTCCATCATCATAAAGGACCCTCTCTAATATGTAATTATATGGAGAACATAGTTGCACTTTTGAAGTAGGTCTATTTAACAGTGTTGTTACATCTTTTGAAATACTGTTTCAAGCTAACTCCTTTTAACATTTCTCATATTGCAACAGATTTACACAGTATTTATTATGCTCCCCGAACAATTTCGGGGGAGCATATAGCCGCCGGGTTGTCCATCCGTACGTACGTACGTCCTGAATTCGTGTCAGGCGGCTCAGGCCCATAACTTCGTTATTTGAGGTCGGATTTTACAACTATTTCACAGAAATGATCACCATATTGAGACGACGTGTCGCGCGCAACATTTGGGTCGCTACCTTGAAGGTCAATGTCACAGCATGACCTTGCAGTAAAATCGTTTCCGGCGCATAACTTCGTTATTTGAAGTCGGAATTTACTTTTATTTCACAAAAATGATCACCATATTGAGATGACATGTAGCGCGCAACATTTTGGTTGTTTTTTACACTTTGAACTTTGTCTGTGAAATAACTCTGACAATACAAGAGGCACACCTTCCTGTGTCAAAAACCTATTCGGGGAGCATCACCAGGTTCTACCGGCTTATGTTTCTTATCGGAACAGTCATGTCTTTTTTGTAGATTAAAATGTTACATTACTACACAAAGTTCCTTTTTTGCGTGTATGCATTCGTGCCATGTGATATTGTAGAGATGATAGTATATCGGCCAACGATATATACAAAGTTTTTCGTTGACAGCTGATATGACACTAAACTCTGGTCTTATTGGCATAAATATAACCACAAACATCACACGGGAATTGGTGTACCCTTTTTCATGTCTAGAGTTCTCCTAAATAATTTTGAATGTCCTCCACAAGTGACATAAGTTATTTTATAATGTTGTTGTTGTTTGTTTTTTTTATTACCAAATTCATGTGAGAAATATACCCATGAGTACACAGTTTACATACATACAGACATATAAATAGACACAAACTGAGACAGACACATACATACACATTAATTATATCAAGGTCATTATACATACAAAACAAATAATCAACATGTAATTGAGACTGAAGTTTGGTTAAATATGAACAGAATAACTATATTAAAACATTTGTAAATGAAGCACAAGTTTCACATAATGATTATTACATTTACCTACCAAATATAATTTACAATTATTCAACATTTGTTCTTAATTCAAACTGTTTACAGATAAATATTGATAATATTTTCTTTTAACATTTTCATTTTGCGATAATAACAATAAATAAACAAATCAATAAATTTTACAGATAAATATTGATAATTTTCTTTTAACATTTTCATTTTGTGATGATAACAATAAATAAACAATTCAATAAATTTAGGTATATATGGACATTTCCAAGAATATTTTTTTATTAGCTCTGTTCTCAAAACATTGTACATTTGACATTTTCATTGTATGTACTCTTTCATTTTATGTGTATATTTAATCGATGAAATATTACTTAATCTTCTTCTGTGCTTTTCAAGAAAGAGATAATACTAGCTACTTAATAGGGCAAATAACAGACCGTTCCATTATCAGAAATTTCCCATGGTGGTTTCAAAAAAAATTGCAAAACATCAAGTTGATTGGTAGTTAAGATAACAAGATACAAGAACACAAACTCAAACGTGTCACATTGAATACATGTGATAGTTTGTTTCAAGGATAAATACACACAAGATTGATGTAAATAAACTGATGCATGCAACACACGCTTTTAAGTTAATGTTGAAAGTAAGGTATTTTACCAATTAGCTGAATAGACCTTGATGGAAACATAAAGTTGTGGTATTTTGATATTTTGTAAGTTATGTGTATCGCCAGCACTTGCGTATGGCTCTTCAACTTAACATTACGAGTTTACACTCTTAAACAAAAATAGACAAGTATTTAGTGTTACAGTAACAGGATAAAGAAAACGCATTTGTACATACTCAAAACAATTTCTGTACTGAACATTTACAGAAACATTTAATATACAAAACTGTTGATACCTTATTTTAATATCCCTTTTTACAGTGTATTACGCAAAAAAAAGTTTTTGAATTTTTTAACAATAATTCTTCCAAATGCTTACATGAAATTAACATGGTAGTAAAACGTCTTTAAAGCGAAGGGCGCATGCAAGGTCATTACTGAACGGATAAAACCCTACTTGAAATAAATTTATTCCAGAACATTTTATTGTATCGCCACTACTAGGGGTCACTCCGTCTGTCTGTCCATTCGTCACAAAACTTGTCCGGACATCTACTAAAAAACTACTGATTTAATTTCAGGAATGGTCAGTACCAAGTCTAGTTGTGCATATTATCGGCATATTTGTCAGAGTAATGACCCTTTAATAATATTTTTTTAAGTTTGTCCGGACTACTCTTATACCATCAAAACAATTTCAATGAATTTTACAGGATTAATCGGTAGCTCAAGTACTTGCATATATTGCACGTGTTTTTCGGTTAAATAATTTTGGCTGAGTTATGGCCGTTGAATAAACGCGTTTTGCCCTGTAAATGACTTGCTTCTCCTAATACACAGTAGCTGCAACATGCTGTTGGCTATCAAAGTAAATCTTTGTTTAATTGCTTAATATACAGTACGCAAAAAATCGCTATGTTGCATTCATTGCATTAAGACAAAACACAAATTGCTTGTATCTGCATATGTCTAAAACTTATATACGACTAGATGATCTAAGGGCGACATAAATCTGCATCGGTTTCTTACAAGCAGACATGATCATCAATTAACATGCCAATGGTAAATCATATGTAATCAATAGGAATCCATCCAATAAGCAATAAATATAAAGGTTATACATTTACAAAGTATACGCACAAATACGAAACTTCGATTAACTGAAATATAAAACAAACAAAAAGATACCTTTTTAGGATTTCGTATTTTACACATGAAATAAATACAAGTCTGCATGCTCTGAAATTTTACCTTGTACGCTTTGTTATGTCTAGAGCAATATATTACACTTAACGTTTGGACTTGACTTAAAAGAAAACGTTGACATTTTGGAATATTTAAGGTATTCATAAATCAAATGATGTATTTATTGATGTTTGATATATTTTTGACAAAAGACTTGATGTTGATGAAACAAAATGGTTGTCCCTTTCCTCCTTTCGTCGTCCTTATGTCCAGTCCCCACTCTTATCTCCTCACGAATGACAATGCCCCTTTCTGTGTAGCTTGTAATGAAAATTTTACTGTCAAGCATTTTCTTCTTGAATGTCATGATTTTTCACAGGCCCGTAATAGATTTTATTGTGTAAATTCACTCAAAGAACTCTTTAATACAATTCCATCAAAAAACATCATTGATTATTTGAAAGAGATAAACGTGTATTCTAGAATATGATAAACAAGATCAACAAGGAAAGGCGGCGTTCAATCTAGGATCTAAATTGACTCATTTTTATTGTCATTTACAAAGTTTTACATAACATTTTAAAATAGATAAATACAGAATCCCTAAAGAAAGCCCAACACGACAAAATTGAAAATGTTGCAGGCTCGGTTTGATTGAGCCTATTCATGGACGGTACTGGAAAGTGCAAGTTACCGTCCACGCCCCCTAGCACCGGCTTAAGCAGAATTCAACATTTAAACATGAAATAGTAAAATTTGGAATTTAGAAACATCCGCAGTTGTGTTCATACGGCGGTTATCATGGAACCTTCAATGTGACACAGTAGTGCCATTCCATGAAAAGCGGCGTATGGTCCCCAATTAAAAAAATGCGTGTGCCCTAAACGAGAAAACAATGGGCGAAACTAAATAAAATGGAATTTTGAAAGGGGATCAGAGGTTATGAAGCCTGCGTATCACAGATAAGACGTCAAAAGACAAATTTAACAAGCATTTGATAGTATTGCGGGCAATACAGTAGTCCCCTACCGGTCCCTCAAAAAGTTCTTTAATTGTCATACACTCCTGTGTATTGCCATTTATAATGAATTTGAGGATGAAGTCTGTATTTGAAAATATCAACCACAAAACATAATAAAATAAGTTTGTCTATATCACAGTAATGTGTTAAGTTTCCATGCTTAGTAAGGAAATTATGTTTATACAACCTTGTCATATTATTACGATGTGGGATGGATGTTTCTAAATTCAAAATTTTACTATTTCATGTTTAAATGTTGAATTCTGCTTAAGCCGGTGCTAGGGGGCGTGGACGGTAACTTGCACTTTTCAGTACCGTCCATGAACAGGCTCAATCAAACCGAGCCTGCAACATTTTCAATTTTGCCGTGTTGGGCTTTCTTTAGGGATTCTGTATTTATCTATTTTAAAGTAAATCCTATAAGGAATGAAGAAGTTGGAGTGAAAATACCAGTTTCGCGAAAAAAATCTAAGTTCAAGGGGGACATAATTCTGGAAATAGTCTTGCTAGAGTATTTAACCTTCTCAAAAATGTCGAGTGATAATAAGAAACATATATATGAAGTTTGAAGTAGATACATTAGGAAATAAAGAAGTTATTTAAAAAAGACAACATTTTTTCCCCTAAAAAATCTAAGTTCAAGGGAGGTAAATACTGATATTTTTTGTGCTAGAGTTATAAACCTTGTCACATATGATGTGGTTGATGACCAGAAACTTATATTTAAAGTTTGAAGTAAACACCTTAAGAAATAAAGAACATATAGTGAAAAAGCTGAAAAATTTAAATCAGAAATCTTGAAATTCAGGCTATTTGTTGCCATAGCAACCAGAATTTTCAACATAGGAAGAAAAAAAAAATATGTGCATAATCTCCAGACTGCCATCTACCCATATTTCAAGTTTCATAAAAATATTTTCAGTACTTTTTGAGTTATCACTGGATCCAGTTTATGTGTTAAATTTGCCATATTTTCAGACTATTTGTTGGCATAGCAACCAGAATTTTCAACA